CAGGAGCCCATTACTAGGAGCCTTCCTCTTCTTCATAAGCTCTTGGAACGGCATTTACCCCTCTTGGTGCTATTTTTAGAATTGCTCATTATAAATTCAGCGCAAAACAGCCAATCAGAAAGCGACTTGAACAATAGGTTTCTGAATGACCGACGGCCGCCGGTCGACCGCCGGCGAGGAAGATCTTAGTACTAGACTATTTCAAAATTCATTTTCAGGATGTTTAAAGTTAACTTTTAGTAGAAATATGTCCCAAAAAAGGAAAGCAGAATCACCTTTCGCTTCATATTTAGCCGATGAGGAAGCCAGTGATAGAAAACAGGTGTAATTACTCTTGGGAATACAGGGGAAAATCTGGAGAAAAAACAACAACCAACAACTTAAAAGCTTTAATGAACTTTTCATTGAGCAGCCGAAGACCAACAAAATTCATTGGACAGCAAAAGCAACAAAAATCGACTCAAATCACACTCTGGATCTTTAACTGATAACCAGAATTTGAAATCAAATGGCTGTTGAAGACGAGGAACGAAGGTTCAAATTGTACAAAAGCGGAAAATTTTCAACTTGAGCAAACTGAACATGACTGAAGCAAGGAAGCTTGCAAATTTTTACATGCAAATGGACATTGAATGGAACTCTTTTTGTGTTGACTAATTTATATGGCCATAAAACAACAACATTTTAGAGGACTATTTATCGGCTGTTCAAGAAAAAAGGCGCCGAAATTCCGTAAAGATTAATAAGGTAACTTCATTTGTGAAGAGGTTTTGTTTAGATGAAAAATATTTTACAAAACTGTCACAAACAAATTTATTAAATGTCACATTTTTTAGATGAAGAACTCATTATAAGAATAGATTATTTTGTGTTCACTGTCATGCTTTTTGATCAGATTCCTCGGTAAAAGAAACCAGAAATGTCGATTCTTTCATGTATGAGCTTTTTCGCTTATTTTTTATACCTTTTCACTATCTTTAGACATTTAAATATAATAGTTAATGGTGCCATTGAACCTTTGATACAAAATAGTTTTTGTAAAAGCGAAAATTTCTTCACTTTTACAGATATAAAATTCAATCTAAAAACACCTGACGGCGGTAAAACACCCGCGAGTAAGAACCTACAAATTAAGAACCTGTTAGCCTAAAATTTGCTATTTATATATAAACAAGAACCTATTTAGCCTAAGTAAGTTAAAATAGGTTCTTAATTCTAAAATCAACTAGTGCCAGTACTAGCTCCACTGAAGAAAAAAGAGAGATTACTGTACTGCATTATTTTTCTTAACAAGCATGTTTCACAGCAAGATGGCATAGGCATACTGTACTGCAAGATTGTAGTCACAAATGATCCACAATGATCCAAATGATCCACAATGTGAATTGAAGAACTTTACTGTAGTGCTAATAAGTTTTAATAAATACATTCCAAACAATAACTGTAAATCCATTTGAATATTTCATCCAGTTTCTTTGCAAGGTTCTTTGATATGCATATCCAGTTACTCTGTGCCACATTTCTTTATGTCACTTATATTGAGATCCAGATTTTTGCCCTTTAGCTTTCTCRCTACTCTCTGTAGATACTRCTGATTCCCAACCAGTCTGTAGTCCACAGGAATTTYGAGTCSTTTTCCTTGGCCAACATTATATTTGTGTCCAATGCATTCGACCTCAATCTSTCCAGAGTCTCGAATAAACTTGTTCATAATCTTTGATAGCTCAATATATGACCTACAATTTGACCAGATTCAGTCTTCACTGCCACAGCATATTTGTCGTGTTTATTGCCCTCTTCAATTTCACACATCATGAGATCCTCTACACGAACAGTCCAATATTTAAAGTATGCGTGGTAACCTCGAACGCTTGACTCCACAAACACCTCATGTTCTCCAAACATAATAAATTTCCAGCTTGTGCCTATGTAACAAGACAGAATAAAGGCCAAGAAACGGTTGATTTTTGCACGAATTGTGAATACTTCGGTGGCAAAAATGTGTGAAGAGTTGATAGGTAATACCGCTGGCCAATTGTATTGAATTTCAAAAAATACGTCATTTCCTGTTCAGCATGTGAAGTAGACACAACGCATCAGTGCTCTTCACGCTTCACTAAGACACGTGAGTTTGACAGCTTTGCAATTTCTCMACAAGTCTTCTCCAGCTTGAAATGAATCATACTTTATTCCACTTTGGGTTCAAGAAACAAGTCGAAACAAAGAGTGRCAAACTCTTCGATGTATCTGCAGGCCTTTCAAAGACTGTAGAGCTTCCTGGCAAGACTATAAATTGCAAATTTTGTCACAATTTGTTCGCTGGGGAGAAATATCTCGATACCCACGTGCGATTTAAACATCCAGATCAGCTCTCGAATTCGAAACCAAAACTCAACCAAAGYAGCTCTTCAACGACAAAAACCTCAAACAGTGTTAACCAAGCCACTTATCAGAAAGATGTGGAGGAAGAAGTTCTAGAACCAACATGTGATTTGACGGAGCTAGAGGATGTTGAACCTGGAATCCAAACCAACAATCGCCGAGGGGCGAATCGGAGGAAATCTTACACCATAGATTCAAAATAAAAACTCTGGATCTTCTAGACACCATGAAAGAGCTAAAAACAAAAAAGCTCTGGGAAAAAGTTGCAGAAAGAAGTGGAGTCAGCAAATCATTGGTTGTTAARTGGAACAAGGACCGGGAAAAACTTCTAAGTGAGCTAGCTCTCAACAAGAAAAACAAGAACAATGGCACATTAAGACCTACGCGACAACGAAGACAACTTGTGAGCGGGAAACTAAAAGCTGAGAAGTTTCCACTCGCAGCTCAGCGTGTTGTTGTGGAGTTTAAACTCCGAAGAGCAAAAGGATGCAAGGTTTCTAAACTGTGGCTAAAAAAGAAAATGAAGGAAAAGATTGAAGCATGTTATGGAAAAGAAGCAGCACAGRCATTSAAAGCTAGTGACAMCTGGTTTCAGCGGTTCAAAAAGCGCCATAACATTGCCTTCCGGAGACGATCAAACAAGAAAAAGGCGATAGCAAGTGATGGCAAGGAGACAATCCAACGTTTCCACCGAGATATCAGAACATCTCTGAAAACAACAAGACGGCGACATACCACTCAGCCAGATGGTAAATATGGGCGTTGGCTACCCCAAAACCGATACAATGTAGATCAAGTTCCCCTTCCTTTTGTAATTGAACAAGATAAGACCTACGAAGTGAAAGGGAGTGATCAAGTGTGGGTCTCTCAACCCTCAMGTGGTCTAGACAAGAGACAAGCCACTTTGCAGCTCTGCATTCGGGCAGAAGGTCCACAAAATGTCAAGCCAGCTGTTGTATTTCGGGGAAAAGGAAATGTCAGTGCAGAAGAGAAAGGTCAATATGATAAAGGGGTTGATGTATATTTCCAGTGTGTGTTTTCCATGTGCTTGGATGGACAGTGAGATAAATATGCAATGGGTAACCAAAACACTTGCTCCAGGCATTGACAACTCCTTAGATGAGAAAGTTATCTTTGCTGACAATGTCTCATTCCAGCAAGAAAAACAGTTTCATGATATTTGTAGGCGAGACCTGAATGCTGTTGTGTATCTGTTGCCAGAAAATCACACTGACAAGATACAACCCATCGATGCAGGGTTTGGTAAAATGCTTAAGATCAAAATTGGAGAGGAGATGGACAAGTGGCTTGAAGAGGAGGACAATTTATCGGTGACGCTTATCACCGATTGGTCTAACCTCCGATGTCAGATCTTGGCATGCTTGTCAAATCATGTCAAATGGTCAAGCAAGTTGTGGAATGGACTAGGTAGTTTCCTTGGTAACCTTGAAATGTTATTTGCATCATTCAGCGGCGTGTCAACTGCTAATTAAAATTTTTAATAAAATAATAAAACACGATCTCGTTTGACCTTTTGCTTTGGACAGCTCAACAGCGTGGACCAGGTTTTAATAGGTAAGCAAACTTTGCCGATTTTCACCATTTATTGTCTATATTTTTTCTCCACAAGTTAAACAAAGATATCGTTAAATGATTTTCGTCTTGTTTGAACAAATTTCAGCTGTTTARATCATTAGTTTCACCCTTAAATTTCATCAGAGATATTGTCACTGAGCAAATAACAGTCATGCCGACAATGGTTACTTTGTTCGTTCACAGAATTTAACTACGATAAATCCGCCCATTTCTGCTTGCAAATCAGTTCAACTTTAAATATGGTAAGTGGTTTATTTTAGGGTAATGGATGGTTAATGTAAACCTTGGCCAGTGTCGAATAATGAAGAATTGAGTCAGGCCTTGAATCTGCTAAGGCAGGGGGCCCAAAGTCTAGAGAGAAATTTTTCTATTCCTGCCTCCACGACATCTACATCCACCACGGACACGCCCGCTAACAGCACATCGGCTCGTCAACTGCAAGAGCACCGACGTCTGTTCAACAGACAGTTGGTATGTATGTGCCTTTACAATTATTATTCYGGCTTCATTTTTACTTTCATTTTCCTTATTTTCGATCTCAATTTCATATAATTTGATATAATTTTTTAGAGAGTTCAACCTTATGGTGGTCGTTCTCGAGCGCCCAGCAGTCGTGGCCGAGGAGGGGCAGCCAAAGGTAAACTAGATCTTACGCCATTGTTTGTTTGTTAGTTTATTTTGTTAATGGAATCTAACTTAAATGCCTTATAATAATGTGTGTGTGTGGACTTTTGCTATATTAATGAAAATTAGATATGAATGATTAAATTAGAGAGGATTGAAAACGAAATAATTCGGGTGTGTAAACTTCAGTGAGAGATTAATATATTTCCTTTTTATTTCTTTTCTTTTCTTTCTTGTTTTATATTTTAATCTATTGTAGAGCGGACATTCACAAGAACTATGGTTTGTTTGTCAAGCAAAAACCAAACTTCGGTTCCCACAGCATTGGAGAAACTCTCCCTTAATAGAAATAACCTTGGGGAGAAAAAGGTCATTTTCCCCTGTGATGTTTCAGGGGACGTCGTGAAAGACGTATTATTTGAGTAAGTACTTGCCAAAGCAATCTGGAACAGAATAACAATATGCCATTCAGTTTAACATTCTTGATATCGGAATGCCCAAGCGAATGAGATAAATATCATGTATATAACTTTAATGCAAAGAGCAACTGTGAACATGCACGAAATTTATAATAACTGTAAGCTCTAATCGTTGAACTGTCCATTGGACCTCGCACGGAGACTTTATTTTTCACAGAACTCCCTGGAAACGAGATGAATTAGTAAATTACTAACATTTCTTTTGCACTTCCATGTTCAGTTCATTCCCTAAATTAAGAAGGTGTGGTGGGTTTGAACTGCTCCGCACCGAGGAGAAAAGCAGGACGCAGTTGCGAGTCATGCACTTCGGTGCATGCTCAACTGACGAGCTTAAATGCCTTGGAACTGGGCGGATATATATTCGTCCAGTCCAAGCGGACATCCCACTGCAAAACCGCCAAGAAGATGATGGAATGAAAGAAGGGTGTCTCACTTGTGGAGCATGTATCCCTCTTTCACAAATGCGGAAACATATGGACTCTCATTCTCCAGAAAGTGTACGTATAATACCTTGATAATAGTCAAATTTGAAAAAGGGTGCTCGGGTAAGGGAATTACATTGCAGCTGAATCTATATGCTTCCCTTACAGACTGAAGTCAAAACCCAAGTGCAGGTCCCTGACGACGACGACGACAACGAACATGGCCTTGACCGTTCAACATTTGACTACAAGTAAGTCAACAAATTGCATACGGTTTGTGTGTGTCCGCKTATTGCCTTTTATTACAAGTGTGGTCAAAATGTCGATTTTTTTTATCAATGAAGCTAACGTGAACAGTATAAAGTTAAGTGCTATACTTATATCCATTCATACCATAAGTCGAACTTGCAAATCTTACCGGAGACGTTATCGGACAATAATTCCGAATTTCTTTGCCTTATCTGCGCATTCTGGTTATATTTTAGCTCTTCTACTCAGTCCTCAAGCAATGAAAGTACTTCGCGCCCCATTCTCATTGAAACATCTGCAAAGTAAGTTTCTTTTTAACTCGAAGATTGCGAAGCAATCGAAGAGTTATTGGAGGGGGACGAGTATGTATAATTTATTCTCATTGTTGTCTATTAATTTACTCATGAAGTTACAGTTACCGGGTTCCCTGATCTATATTTGGTTGAATTTATTTATTTTTTTGACAAAGACAGAAATCTAATTAAAGAAATGCCAGCTCCTCTGAATCTTGAACTTCAGAACCCTGAATTAATTCCCATCTACACGAACAATTTTTATGTGACAATTATTAATTGATCAAAAATCGATCATTTTTGGCCACTTTGGTGTGCTATAGTCCATACATTTTGATCAAAAATCGGTCATTTTTGGCCATTTTGGTGGGCTATATTTTGATCAAAAATCGATCATTTTTGGCCATTTTGGTGGGCTATAGCCCATGCATTTTCATTTTATATTGTCACATATAGTTTTTCGCATTTACACGTGCAAATGTTGCAGCGCGATTGTCTCGCGATTGTCTCGCCTATAAGACCTGAACAAATGACTTAAGAATTTTGTGTCCGATCTTATGCTTTTGGTAGAGATTGGAAAGAGCGCCTTTTCACGATTATGTCAAACTCAAAAGAACTCACTCTCGCGTTGAAACTGCAACATTAAACGCGATCTTTTTGCCATTTGCCGTTTGCCGTGAACGTCATGCTAAACGTCTCTAATCGCAGGGCTGTTAAAATGTACGATTTGAGGTGCGCGAGAGCAAGGTGTTGCGCGACAATCTCCCTGCCAAAATTGCAAGTGTAAACGGAACTTTAGAAATCGAAGGCACGGCTTCCATTCAGCCACGCGTACCAATGTTATATAATTTCGGCTAGAATTGTCTTTGAAGTGGAGGTGATCAGTCCTGGTTATCAAAAATCAAAGTTAAAAATAATTAGTATTAACGTAAAAGAAAACTGTATTCATAAATCGTTTACATTAAAATCCTATTTGTAAAGTATAGTTAAGTAATTATAATTTGATTCGTTTTACCGGTTCAGTCACAAAGGTCGAAGCAAGCAAAGAATTAAGACTGGTCGATCCTCCAAATTCGTTTCGAAAATGATATTGTGCGAAGGTGCTGGCCTGTGCTTGTCGAAAACCCAAGTTAGTATTAAAATGAAACAATGAAGGCTACGTCGTAGAATTTTCCAGCTCCTACGCAGCTCGCAATCAAAGCGACTGTAGTCTTTCTTGCACTCCTTTCATTAACGTTCAAAAGACTTCTGAATTGAATTAGACATCTGTTGTCTATAGACACTTACGCAAAATTTCTTTGGGTTCTTACTTTGACAGTTTCTTTCTTATCTACATTTGTAGTGGTTGATCAAAAAATAACCACATTTATAATTTAAGAAAAATGTCCCAAAACCACACATTTATCTCTTCGGCAGACTCGGATATTTTAAGAAATTGTCTCTTAGCTTTTGCCTTGTCAAACCGGGTATTATTTGGCTGTTTGTTGAACTTATATTATTTTTAACTTAATTGCCTTGAAGATGAAGTTGTGTTTACTTAGAGATTGCTTTAATTGCTTTTTGACAGTTACGGCAATTTTCTTTGTGTTTCGGATACAGATATAGCGTGGCAACATTTACTGAATCATCCCAATGGTAGAAACTCGTATCTAAAAGCGTCTTCCTGCATTGCAGATGGTCTGCTGTCTTAGTTTTCATCGGATGTCAAAGTGATGCAATCCACGGTTTGTTTAAATTTTTGACATTGATTTTGTACGTCAGCAGTCGGCGTCGTGTCATGATTGACCGTGATCGCTGTATGTATAGTACTGTACTAAGGACTTTACTGTAACCTGATTTGTGAACAAGAAAAGCAACCAAGAGAGTTAAAAATGAATGGTTCCAACTCTAGAACGCTGATGTCACTTACAAATGCACACGCCGTTCGTGGTAGGCCCACACTAAAAGATGTTCAGCGTAATTTTCGGAACGGGCCGGTCCACGATCCTATTAGCAAAGTTCTTACTAGTTCTTACCAGATCTCAAAATATTCAAATGAACAAAATACTACTCAGACTTACAATACYGACAAAACTACAAAGACTGACCAAAAAACTGACTCCATGAATTTGGAAGTGAAGAAATCGGATGAAACTCGAGTCCAGAGTCACAGTAAACGAACAAGTTGCCAAGAAGACCAGTCAACTATGATCAACAAAAAGGCCGTCAACATGATGTTGGATGAAGTTATAGACTTGCGAAGGACTCCAGAGTCAAAACTGTTAATTTTCACGAATCAATATCTGAAATCATTTCTTGGAGTAAGTATAATCTGGATTCTTATATTAATGTTAGTTAGAGTTAGCACTTGTAAAGGTGAAGAGCATTTCAGCAAGCTTTTTGTTATCTTTGTTGTAAGTT